AATAACTTGGGAGAAAATAAGGATTAAAAGCAGTTTCAGATGTAAACAGAACAGAGTGTGATCTTGATAATGCAAAACGAATATAAATAGTTGATATCAAAAGGAAAATTAAGTCTGTCTTGGTACAATTTTGATTGGAATATAACTGACAACCATTTTTTGTTCAAATTTACCAACTGATAAATCCGACTCAATGTCAAAAGGTTGACATTTTGTACTTTCGGTTTCTACAGCCATAATAATAGATATATAAATAATATATTGTTTGCTTTTGTTTTTAATGAAATCACTTAATTTAGGTTGACTTTTACTTGATATATTGGAAATAAACTAGTCAATAAATTACATGTTTAGTTTCTTAGCGTAGGTTAGACGGAAATACCGTATCCGTTCTGTTGATGTCCTAATCCGAAGACTGACGGAAAGGGCCGAAAAGTTGCGATTGCATAGACGATAGGAAAGTGGCAGATTTATGCGATCAATTTTGATAAGCAAGGCACGTCAGTGTAACACAAGTATGCGCGTTGTTTTAACTGTAAAACAGCACGGAGAATAAATAATACATGAACGTTTTTACATTGATTGTAGTAATGATTTCCTGAAAGCCGAATATTATCTTTTCATAGTTACACAGGATATGAATTACTCGTATTAGCCCCTTGAGTGTTCTTAAGTGCATATTCAACTTTGCAGGCATGCACGCTTTCCTGCAAAGTTTAATTATTTTTTCAATATGATTTTTTTTATCAAAGTATCAAAAATATTAGATATAGACTAACATAATTTGCAAATAAGTTTTTAGAAAAAAATAGTCATAAACATTACTCATTTAATTTCTGTATCCTAATATTCGACTACAGTTGGTTAAACTTACTGTATACATGTATGTAACAGGCCCAACTGGACTATGAAAGCCAGCAGATGGCGCTAGGGCAGGTGTCTTATTAATTCAATGCATGCTTCATTTTTTAGGGACCCTTTTTCAAAGTTTTAAGATTAATTTCCAATGCATTAAAACTACACTTGGCATGTATGTTGGCATAAATATTATCGATAGAGATTGACCAAAATTATTCAAAATATAACTTTGTTAAGTGTGTTTCTGAAAAACTTATAATACTGGCTGTCAAATTTGAAATTTGAAATTAAAGTTCCATTCAGTCTCAAAAATACTTTTTTTTTTCATTTCACAATAGCTTTCTAGTTTGGTATCCTTAACCAATTTCCAAAAAGGTTACTCATTTGCCTTATAGCTATGTCATCTTTTGCGTTTAGCTGTTGGTAAAGTTAAAATGATTTTGTACTTTGTATGGAAGTAAAATTGCATTTTTGTTGGCATTTTATTACCTTTGTCACAAGTTAGTTCAAAATAAGCACTTTTTTCTTAAGGAGAAAGCATCTAACATTCTAAATTCATTATTAATAAATTATTGAGCACATGTTTTTCTTTTTACAGAATGAAAAAATAATACACACTTTATGTGCCTTTAATGGAAAGAAACACGATTAATTAATTAACGGAAAACAACCTAGACACAACATTACGTTACGCTTGGTTGAATCTGATTAATTAGAGTATGTATTGTTTTATACGTTATGTTAACATACAACATTTTTTTGTTTTTGTTTTGTTTTGGGTTTTACGTCACATCGACACAGTATAGGTCATATCGCGACGTTCCAGCTTTACTGGTGGAGGAAGACCTCAGGTGCCCTTCCGTGCATTATTTCAGGCACGAACGGGCACCTGAGTAGAACCACTGACGTTCCGTAAGCTAGCTGGATAGCTTCCTTACATGAAAGAATCCAAAGTCCCTGTCGGGATTCGAACCCAAAGCGGTGAGGGGCCAGTGGTTTGAAGTCAACGACCTTAACCACTCGGCCACGGACGCCCCAACATACAACATAGTATAGTCGACGTTACACATGAAATCATGCGATTAAAAAAAACGGTATGCTAAATTTAATTAATTTGACATTTGCATCACGTGAAGAATGATTAATAGCTTGTTTAATGGTGAATTAATTAGCATAAACATTTTAAACGCGCTTGTTGATTCTAAACTGTACAATACTATAACGTGACTAGCCGAAAAATATTATCTAAATCAAAAAAATGTTCAGTATTTAAATGTTAAATATTATTTACTTAGTATTGAAGTTAAAATCGAACGCTATCGTTGTCTGACAAAAAGTATCCTGCTGAAAAACACTATGTTTGTAATAAATTACAAAACAAAACGTATTGAGCAGGAAGCTTTAAAGACTTCTTTGAAAACTTTCCGTTAACTTGGTCAATTTGCATAGGGTTTAGTGTATTGTATAAAAAAACTGCGTGAGTTATTGAGTTAATAATTAAATGAATGAGTGTTTGTGTGTGTGAGTGATTGCACGGTTGAGTGAATGAGTGAGTGAAAAAATATATTAGTAATTTGGAGTAAATGACATTATTCATTCGCGCGGATTCAGCTAGTCCCACCAACCCAACCCCCACTTTCCCCTCCACTCAAGCCAAACATAAGAGGGTATATTTCCTTTAAGTTTTTACTGATAAAGTGTCTTTAAGTTTTCATTTATTATATCGTTATCAAAACACGGATTATCGTCGAAACGGTCATCCTGTCGTTTTAAAGCAGTCTGCCTCAAGATTCATGCTAATTTTTATTAACATTTTGAAAATGTATTAAAATAATAAAGTATTTTATACATTGCTAACGGTGTGTTCAATCTAAGTTAATTACCAAATAAAGGTGAGATTGTGCAAAATAGACCTTATCACGTTAGTCACACAGAACAATAGTCAAACAGTAGAAAGTTGGTGATATATATACTGCAAAATCAGCCATTCATTGCATATAACATTTAAATCATTACTCAAATTGTAAATATTTTTACTTTTTTAACCTTAGTTTACTTTTATTAATTATGACGTTATCATTTTAAAAGATGTGAATAACCTGTCATGAAAGCGAAGTTTCTTTAAGGTCATTAACGCCTATTTTGTCTTTGGTTTGTTTAAATATATTTTAACAACATAGACAAGATGTTAAAATGTGTTGAAAATAACACTTTTTGATAGAACTATTTAAAATTGGCTGTTGCCACCACAGGACAGACCCACAGGCCCGCCCTGTACGTTAAAGGTCCTTTGAAATGGATAACTTAAAAAAGAAAAAAAGAAGGCTTACCTAAGATATATGAATTATTCCTGCATATATGTATAGCACACTGACACAATTAAATCTTCGATTTGCTTTTAAGGTTAAATGTAATATTAATATACTCAGGTCACTTTTTGTATTACTTCTTCACTGCATGTAAACGCCAACGTAACACTTGTCAGACAGACAGGTAAAGTAAAACAATAGATAATTGAGTAACTGAAAAGTTCGTTGACATGTGCAGTTACGATAAATGCGTTTCCTGTTTAATAAGATTCGGTTTATTTTTAGAAAAGTTCATATATATAGTATTTTTTCCACAAAAAAAGAAAAACACAGTAACTGAACATGGTAAACACGTATATCATCAATATCACAAGAATTTCTGTGATCGCAAATATACTGTTCTTACGATTGTAAATTAATGAGACCTATTCATTGTGTAATAAATATATCTTGTAACTCAGTAATGTGATACTATTAAACACAATTACCTTCCTGCCTTAAAGGGTTTTAGCACACAATTGATCGCATCACGTAATTTGACAATATCACACATTACCTTCCTGCATTATGGAGGCAGTACACAATTTTACCAAGGCTTCTGCATACACAACTGTCCGCATTCACAATCTAAAACGCATATCTGTCATATCACACCTGAAATGAATGCATAAAGATGTTTATCACAAACAAACAATATCTAATAGAAACAATCATTGTTCTAGATTCCTAGCAGAAACTCACGAGGTTAAAAGGATTTGTACCTTTCATCTTTTTCTTTTTCAATTCGTCTGCTTGAATATCATTTTAAATGAACGGCTGATTTAAGAGCAAGCTTTGTGATTCATTCGAATTTGACAGATCTATGAAGCAGCATCACTTAAATCAATTTTACTAATTAACTAAGACACAATTATTGTTAATGAAACTTGAAATATTGTAACCTTAATATTAACATGCTCAAATATCTACTTAATCAATTTCAAAACATCTCATATTTGTAAATTTGACCCTGGTCATTTATAAGATGAAAGATACATTCTTTGTGATTTACACGGTGCCGTTTGTGTTTTAAAGATGAAATACTTTTCAGCAATCTGCTAAAAGATACAGCTATTATAAAAGAAGAAAAACAAAAGATATTTAATAATAAAATCCTTCCCATCGTCTCACTTTAAATTCCGTGGTTTCACATATTGAATTATTGAGAAATCCAATATTCATGCTCTTCGTTTGTGAAACTTGGGAAGATACGAGGTCGCTCTTCATATAGTTTTCATTTTATTGCTATTTCCCGAAATGAATACGGTATTGATTATCAAAACACTTTAGATATATCTTGTAAAGGAATATAAATTGGAATATAGTAAATGGTCGTGATTGAAACTTGTCTCGTTATGCAGGTATCTCTTGTCTGTAGTCGTTTGTAAATTGAAATTGCAAGGTGATGTTTGTTTTTTGTGGTCGTGAAATTACCAACAGGTGACCTTGCATATTTAAAGTACTGATTTTTGCGCAATATGGTCGCGAACTTGGTCAACGGCCAGCCATCAGTTGAAACCAATACGATACCTTATACTTATTTGGAAGAACGGAAACCCCATACGCAGACAAGACGAAGATGTGAATTTTTATCAACTGGTTTAGGCTGTCAAATCAAAGCACTGAAGTACAGATCGGCTGACTGTCTAACTCATCACATTTTGTAATGATATAATGGCATTTAAAAAGAAAATGATATCAGTCGTGGAAATACAGTGTTAAAACCGTCTTTGCTGATTTTAGGGAAATATGATGATTTAGGACGAATAGTCTTTTATATAGAATGGTCACTTTCGAGCATGATTTTAACGTCTTTCTAAATATTCAAGATTTAAAAAATTACATTCGTTACGGAAACTTAAATTACTGACTTTGTCTGTTTTTAAAATGATTTATTCAAAAGAGGAAATTCATATAAGACCGTATACACAAAAGCAACACACTCAATCATTTATCGCTTAAACTCCAGTCGAGTTTTCATTTTTGTTAACTGATGAAAAAATTATGTTACTGTTAAATAACATACTTATGTTGTTTAAATATGTTAATGAATGAACATAAAATTCCTTTTCTGTAAGATTGGAATAATATGTAGTTGATCCCTGTATAACATATAAAGGAGTCGATTTTATATAAATGTTTACATTTTATGTCAGATTTCATAAATTGATATATTTATTTACGTTACGTTAAGGTTACTCTAAATATAAGAAGATATTTTTTCGTTTGAGTGAAAAAGGAATATATTTTCACGAAACATGATAAAATGCCACATATTTTCACTAGCCGGGACGGCGAGTAAAAATATGTGGCCTTTTTTATCATGTTTCGTGAAAATATATACCATATTTCACACCATATTTTACGAAAAACGAAAAAATAACCTTTTTATTTAATTTCATGTCAAAGAAAAACTGTTATGAACCCCGTTGCTTGCTACGCAACTGCAATTGTACAGCGCGCAGTAATATAATTATTGTCTTGTTTTGCACGCGATATTTAGCGCTACACTTTAACGTCAGGTAAAAAACTCTTTAAACGTCTGTACAGCGTTACTGACTGAAATAAAGATACTAGTGTTCGGATTTATTTTCTTAGTTAGACCATTTTCATTTTAAATAGTTTTCAAAACAAAATGCAACAAAAGTTGTTTTGTATAAATCATATTTTCAAACAAAATGGCGAAAGAAGTCCCTTAAAATAAATATGATTTTTGACTTCGCCCACTTTCATATTTATACTTCAATATTCATTTAAAAAACAATAAATATATTTGACTGATATAGCACCATATTTCATGGGTAAAGTTAAATAAATAATATATTAAACTTATGTTTAAGATAATACAGGATACAAAATATATTAACACGCCAGTTTTGATGGAATATTTTACATACGAGTAGCGTAGGAACTAGTATAAATAGAGAGTAACGGCGTGTTATCACTATCAAAGCCTTTGACGCATTGATAGAAATACACGTAAATTTGATTTTATTTCCCCACTCACCCAACCAACATTTATCACAACTTTGTATTCTTAAGTATGGGATTCTAATTTTGCTTTGTTTTTCAGTGTAGATAATTTTTGTTTTTGTCTTAACAAATGTCATGGATAATTAAGAAGTATGATTGAAGTGGTTCTGAGAGGGAGGGTTTTAACCTTGTTTATTATTATTTGTGTTAACAAGATGTATCCATGAGAACTTGAGAGTGATTCATAGAACCACAGATGTGGCACTTTACATTAATTCATACAGCAAAATAAATGTTAAGTGTCGCGGCACACTTACTTGAACCATTATTAGTACTTTTAATATACATATCGTCTTCGATGTATGTTAATTCAACAAAAACAATCAATCCAATCTTTTTTTTCAGACCTGGTTAAAGTAGCTTTTTATTTTATTTGTGTCCTAAAACAACTTTACCACTGAAGGGGCATATACTAGATTGAAAATGTGTATACGTGCCAAACGTACGTTATATATATTTTAACCATGTTATATTTTCATCTCGAGTTGACTGCTACATTATATGACTCAATTTGATTTGGTTGGTAATTGGGTCTGTATTCCCGGTTTTACTTTTTTAAAGATACAATATAGGCCTTTCTCAAATTATATGCATACTTTACATTCCATCACCAGAGAGAGGCTAACAGGGCATGAATGTAAACAAGTAATGTCTGACCTGATAAGCCCAAGTGTGTTAAACTTACCTGGGGAAAATATAATTTTTATTGTTGTGTTTCACTCTGTTAATCCAATTCTAAATATGATTATACGGTTAATTTTCATAAAATACGTAAGGATGTGAGTTAAATAAAGGAAGGGATTGTGGAAATAAGATGGGATGAACGAGAACATTTCGAGGTAAAATTTCATTGTTCTTTTCTTTTTTAAACTAAGCTACTTTAGATGTATTACTACTTACATTAATTAATCTGATTTCTCATTGTTTTAAATGTTTCATTTAATTATTAACATAATACAATGTTTTGTTCGTTAATTTCATTTAAATATCACACTTATGATTAATCTGAATCAATACCGTTTTTATACTAAAAAACAATAACAGTTATTTTGTTTACCATTTCAGATCAACATATGACAAGACAATATTGCTTGTTTTGAAGCATTTCACACAATAAGATTAACGATCATGGACACAAATTCATATATGTCTGAAGAGAATAGATGTACCCTCTTGGTTCAAATGGAGAAGTAATGAACAAACCAGTAAGATGTGCACTAAAGAAGATTTTTGCCAGATGAAAGGTAGATCTCAAGACTTAATTTTCATTTTTACACATAAATTAAGTTCAGCTACAGTAAAAAATACTATAAATGCAATTACAATATAAATTGGTATATTCTAGAAATGTCATAATTCTTGTTACCACTTCATAATAAAATGTAAATATATTTTTCAGGAATTCCATTGGTAACAGTAATGAACAGAAATTACCAACTGGTATTTGAATCGCCTTAAGTTTTAATATCTCTTCATGGCAGTTGCGGAACAGATGAAAAAGAAACTATCAAACAGTTCAAAGAAGAATTACAGAAAACTGAGGAAAAATAAAATGTGAAATTGAACTTTTGACAAAAACAAATTTTTAAATGATAACAGTTGCATATCTTGTTTATTTTGGATTTTCAACATATGTATATTCATTACAGTTTTCACTGTTTAAAACATCAGCAAACACATTAAGAGCTTTTATTATGAAGCAAGCAAAACAAACAGCTTGACTGATAGAAAGAGATAAATGTTGCAAGCTGACAAAATGTATTTTTAGTATATTCTAAAGGACCATTTGTTTAGTCTTTTGTGTCTTAATTCAAATAAAATAATTAAAAAGAAATCATCGCACTACTTTGTTTTTCACATTATTTTGTTTTTAACATTGTGCTTTGTTAAATATATGGTACAGCTGCAGGGAATTTGTCAACACGGTAATAACATTTAATATTCTGTCCTCTTATTGCATTATATACTGTTGAGTGAATATTTCTTGGAATGCTAAAAGAAGTGCTGAAGCTAGATGCTGTCTTTCCTAATACCCTCCGACTGCAAGGTCCTGCACATGTATTCTGCAAATGTTTAGTCCCCTAAGTAAATGGAATGTCTGGGGTTGTTAAGTCCAGGCAACATCTTCTGGAAGTGCTGTGTACCCCAATGATTTGTTATATATCAGCTAGTACAGGTTTCAACAATATGACCACATTATCAAGTCGGACCAACTGGACAAGTGCAATAAGCTAATGATACCTCAGATTTGACTGATATGTGCAATTAAATGATTGTAATTTGTTAAATACTAAGTATTTAATACTGTAATTAGTTAAAACAGTTGATAATATATAAGTTTTACATCCGTTACTTAGCATGAAATGTATGTTTCCAATGCTGTAAACAACATCATGTGTTGAGATACTGAAAATCCATTGAAATGTCTAAGACGGGGGTGTGGTGTCATGTCTAAACAAAATTGTTATTTTGATTTGGTAAGACTGTCTGTAAAGTTAACCAGTTACTACACAGTCATCCAGAATTTTTGATTTTCAAATACAAAATGAATAAAACTTATTGTTTTTTTTATAGTTTTTTTTTATTTCAATGGCTAAATTTAGGGGAAGTATGGTACAGAATTCAGCATCCAACTGTTTACATCTATTATCAGTTAAGTGCCTTATACATTCTTGACCAACATATGTGTTAAGTTTAGCAATAAAATACTGATAACACAGATAATTGTCTGTATAAGTTGAAGAGATTTAACCTGATATTTATACCTGTCACGGAATATTAGGAATTAATTGGAATTATCATAAACATTAATTCACTTTTCAGGTCTTGAATACATGTATATCCTTCACTGTATATAGCGTAAAATAAATCATTTATCTCCAGAAGAGATTTTTGTAATGTTAAATATAACATTCAACAAGTATGTAGTACTATTAGTACTATATCAAGATCTCTAAATCTTTCAGTCATATATTCGTGATATGTTTACATAGAGCAGACACTGTAGCTTGCCCTGTTAGCCTCGTTCTGAGAAATCTATGAATATGTATGAGGTAATATTAAGAAGGGTCTTATAGGCCTTTCTCAAATTATATGCATACTTTACATTCCATCACCAGAGAGAGGCTAACAGGGCATGAATGTAAACAAGTAATGTCTGACCTGATAAGCCCAAGTGTGTTAAACTTACCTGGGGAAAATATAATTTTTATTGTTGTGTTTCACTCTGTTAATCCAATTCTAAATATGATTATACGGTTAATTTTCATAAAATACGTAAGGATGTGAGTTAAATAAAGGAAGGGATTGTGGAAATAAGATGGGATGAACGAGAACATTTCGAGGTAAAATTTCATTGTTCTTTTCTTTTTTAAACTAAGCTACTTTAGATGTATTACTACTTACATTAATTAATCTGATTTCTCATTGTTTTAAATGTTTCATTTAATTATTAACATAATACAATGTTTTGTTCGTTAATTTCATTTAAATATCACACTTATGATTAATCTGAATCAATACCGTTTTTATACTAAAAAACAATAACAGTTATTTTGTTTACCATTTCAGATCAACATATGACAAGACAATATTGCTTGTTTTGAAGCATTTCACACAATAAGATTAACGATCATGGACACAAATTCATATATGTCTGAAGAGAATAGATGTACCCTCTTGGTTCAAATGGAGAAGTAATGAACAAACCAGTAAGATGTGCACTAAAGAAGATTTTTTGCCAGATGAAAGGTAGATCTCAAGACTTAATTTTCATTTTTACACATAAATTAAGTTCAGCTACAGTAAAAAAATACTATAAATGCAATTACAAAATAAATTGGTATATTCTAGAAATGTCATAATTCTTGTTACCACTTCATAATAAAATGTAAATATATTTTTCAGGAATTCCATTGGTAACAGTAAAAAGAACAGAAAATTACCCAACTGGGGAGTTTGAATTTGCCTTAAAATTTTTTAATTTTCTCTTTCCGGAAATTGCGGAACAGAAAGGGAAAAAAACTATCAAACAGTTCAAAGAAGATTAAGAAAATTTAGGAAAAAAAAAAATGTTTAAATTAACTTTTGAAAAAAAACAAAATTTTTTAAATGATAAAGTTGCCCCCTATCTTTTTATTTTGGATTTTTTAAAAAATATGATATAAATTATTTTCAGTTTTCACTGTTTTAAAACCAGCAAACAATTTTAAGGAAACCCTTTTTTTATGAAACCCAAGGGAAAAAAAAACAGCTTTGAAAATGATTTGGGGAAAAAAAAGGAAAAAATGTTGCAAGGGTGGCCCAAAATGTTTTTTAAATATATTCTAAAGGACCAATTTTTTTGTCCCTTTTTGTCCCTTTAAATTTAAAATAAAAAAAATTTAAAAAAAAACATCGCCCCTACTTTGTTTCACATTTTTTTTTTTTTAAAAATTGTGCTTTGTTAAATATATGGGACAGCTGCAGGGGAAATTTTTTAACACCGGGAATAACATTTTTTAAAATTTTTTCTGGGGCCCCTTTTTGCAATTTTTTACTGTTGAGGGGAAAATTTCTTGGAAAAGCTAAAAAGAATGCTGGGAAACTAAAAAAGCTGTCTTTCCCCAATCCCTACGGGTGAAAGGCCTGCCCTTTTTCTGCAAAGGTTTTTTCCCCAAGTAAATGGAAAGTCCCGGGGGGTTTAAGTTCCCGGCCCAAAATCTTCTGGAAGTGGGTGTGGGACCCCAATGAAATTTTTTTATATATCAGCTAGTACGGTTTTAACAATAAAAACCCATTTCAAGTGGACCAAATGGAAAAAGTGCAAAAAGCTAAAAGATTACCTCAGATTGACTGATATGTGCAATTAAATGATTGTAATTTGTTAAATACTAAGTATTTAATACTGTAATTAGTTAAAACAGTTGATAATATATAAGTTTTACATCCGTTACTTAGCATGAAATGTATGTTTCCAATGCTGTAAACAACATCATGTGTTGAGATACTGAAAATCCATTGAAATGTCTAAGACGGGGGTGTGGTTTCATGTCTAAACAAAAATTGTTATTTTGATTTGGTAAGGCTGTCTGTAAAGTTAACCAGTTACTAGACAGTCATCCAGAATTTTTGATTTTCAAATACAAAATGAATAAAACTTATTGTTTTTTTTATAGTTTTTTTTATTTCAATGGCTAAATTTAGGGGAAGTATGGTACAGAATTCAGCATCCAACTGTTTACATCTATTATCAGTTAAGTGCCTTATACATTCTTGACCAACATGTGTTAAGTTTAGCAATAAAATACTGATAACACAGATAATGTCTGCATAAGTTGCAGAGAGTTAACCTGATATTTATACCTGTCACGGAATATTAGGAATTAATTGGAATTATCATAAACATTAATTCACTTTTCAGGTCTTGAATACATGTATATCCTTCACTGTATATAGCGTAAAATAAACCATTTATCTCCAGAAGAGATTTTTGTAATGTTAAATATAACATTCAACAAGTATGTGGTACTATTAGTACTATATCAAGATCTCTAAATCTTTCAGTCATATATTCGTGATATGTTTACATAGAGCAGACACTGTAGCTTGCCCTGTTAGCCTCGTTCTGAGAAATCTATGAATATGTATGAGGTAATATTAAGAAGGGTCTATTTGTCGAATAATGCGCGCGTTAATATAGCATCAAGTAGAAACAAACAAGGCTTGTTCATTTGTTTCGAGTTTAACGAAGATACCTAAAAGGACAATGTAATTCGGCAAATGCATCAATGTATCATTTTAAACATCAAAGTACTTTTAATATTTTTATTTATAATCAATATTTTAATGTTCGAGTTTTGGTTGATGGATCAAACTTTACTCTTTTATTTTCAACATAATGCCTCTTAATTTTGTTATTTTATTATAATGCCAGAGCGATTTTTCAATAATGTTAACAACGATTTTAAAGGCCCGTTGTGCGCCAGAAATGCTACCAATTTTATTTCTCATTTTTTATTTTTTATTTTTGGTATCTTGTTACAATGTTTAAAGTAAAACTCATTTGCCATATACATTTTGCAGCTATAGCTCTGCTGCCAATCGGTATAATCATAGTAAATAAGTATATTGTAAGAAGTAAAAATTCTACTTTGCTTACATTTTGCTCACTTTACGACATATATCTGTACGTTCAGCGATACTTTTTTTCAGTTGTTAACAACTATTCTAACACGACCCGCATTTTTCCCTATTGAACATAGAAGAACCGAAAGTGTGTGTTATTTAAGAAATAATATATCCAAATCAGTGATTTTATCGCTGGATAACATCACTGTTTGTCGTTCGGATGCGCATCATTATATCACTCGGGCTACGCCCTCGTGATATAATTCCTCTCATCCGAACTCAAAACAGTGATGTTATTGAGCAATAAAATCACAGTTTGGGATATATTATTTCTTAAGTATGCTCTTAAATCCATTTTAAAAACACTTCAAACACATGCTTTACATTTCTTAAAATAAAAAAGAAATCCTTTTCTGACTTAGATTTTACACATGTTGTTATCTTAAGAAACAAATCCATTACATTTGTAGATCATCTTGGTAATAGAATTGAAAACTGAATAACTATCATCACTCAATAGAAAGTATGCTGGTTACTAAAAGTTCTCAAATAGCAATTATATATAGTGTTGATTTATGAAGTTCTTTATTGCTTGAAATGCAGTTCATCCTCGACTTAGTTACTGTTTACAAATGCAATTGCTGGCGTTTTGTCGAGTTTAGAATTTTGTTATTATTTCCCGAATTACAGAAGACGTCCCCCAAATGATGACACTACAAACATCTACACACATTTATCATTCATATTGTTAAGTCTATACAACAGCTAACAAATAAATATACATACATTTCACATTATACTTTTCATAGCGGCAAGCGATACATGCATTATAATTTAAACAGTTTTATAAGTACAAGTCTATCTGTTATACTATACCTTATAATCGTTATCTATTCACGTTCCATCATCTATTATAAAGAAAGCTATATCTTTTGAAAATGATTTTCAAAAATGCACTTATCCCTAAGTCTTTTTTTTTTCAAGATTTCCGTTGCACATTTATGTAGTCTCTCTTCCAAATGTTATTCAAAGTTTACGCTAAACTTGTTCATTATCAGAGAATTTAGTTGTTTCGGAAGGAAATGAAGTGGAAATCTATTTTTAGGTGCTGAAAGAAAAATAATCATAGATTCACTTGACTATATTTTGATGAAGTTGAAAGCTTTAAGCAGAAGTATTATGAAACAAGTTACATTATTCTGCAAGATTTTATTGTTTGTCATACGAGTATACTTTAAGATAATCGATAACGACTAAGTTCACTAAAATCTGCATCAATTGTTAAACTATCCAAAATGAAATTTAATTCAGCAAATGCAACAATTACCTATTTCAAAAACTAGGCCTTACTGTTATTCATAATTGATACTGTTATTCATAATGTTGTTGTTGTTGTTAATTTTTTTTTATTTACTCTGGAAATGACACCGAGGCTACATTTATCCGATTACATCCAATAACGACTATTTTTTGAAGATCACAATTGGAGATTATTTGTTACACTTTATGTTGTGAGAAGCAGCACTGAACAATGCGAACTAACAATAATTCAAAGCAACATAAAATGCGGTGCGGCACATGACAAATGGAAACAACACTCAACAATACAAAACGACACTTAACTGTGTACAACAAGAAGTGACACTCGACAATGCGAACCGACATGCATTAATAGAAAGCGAAACTCGAAAGTGCTTAGCGACATTTTCAAAATGGCGTCATTTTTTTTTGGGGGGGTGGGGGGTAATTTTTGATATTTGATATTTGACAAAGCGAAAGACCAGTGGGGACATTTCAACTTCATGAATTCCCGATTTCATCTTCATAAATTCACAAATTCAAATGCACATTTCATTGTGAAGTTGCAATCGTGAATTTGTGAATCTGTAATCGTTATTTCACAAAGAGATTAAATCGTGATTTTTCGAAGTTGAAATCGTAAATTCGTGAAGTTGAAATCGTGGGTTCACGAAAGTTCAATTTGTTAAGTTAGAATCGTAAATTTATGAACTTGAAATCGTGAATTAGTGAATTTGAAATCGTGAATTGATGAACTTAAAATCGTGAAATCCTAATTGATTCCTAATTTTTAAAACTTGAATTCCCAAAGTTAAAATTGTGAGTTTACGAAGATGAAATCGGAAATTTATCAAGTTGAAATGCCCCATGGGTCTTTCGTATTATTGCCTCGCTTTCCTACGTCACTGTCGAGGTCTATCCAATGCAAAATCACTAACACAAACCTGTGTAATCATGTAGGATCAATGTGTTCATATGTGTATACATATGTTTAAGTCTTTACAATAAAGTATTAAGTTAGTATTGTGATGTTGATGCTAGTATGTATTATGTGCTTTAATGACAAATGAAGAAAAAGATACAGACCTATTTTAGTCTCGATTGCATACATCTTTTATCGTTTCCGTTAATTATGGCCCTAATGAAAACAGTTACTCCATAATTAGATATCTTTTGACCTTAATATTTTGGTAGAAAATTTCAACAAATAAACACACGATATGTTACATTATCAAACAATGAGCTCTACCTGTGGCAACATTAGCTGCCGCAGCAGCGAGTATTTGTGGGTGTGACTAATCAGTGAAGTAAAACTGTGTGCTAAAAATAGCATGCAGTGTTACCTGTCGAGAGAATGGAAACGAAAACAGCTGATTTTACACAGCAGAGGTTAAATAAATGTTGTATTTAACTCACAGATTAATTAAAGACATTATCAAGTCATCTTGTGTAGATATTAATTTTGAAGTCAGTTGTTTTGGTTTTTTTGACTGGAATACTGTAGATTCTTTTATATAGAATTTTGCTGATGTTTGAAGGCGATTTACATTTTTATTCCAATCGCGGACAACCAAGTAAATCCTCATTCGTTTGTCACCATATAGTAAAAATGCATTATAAGACGAATCTACATAGTGAGTATCCATATATTATCTATATTTTTCTGCATCCTTGTTCTTAAGAATTTGTAAGTATAAAAACAGCTTTTTCATCTTTAAATCTTTAAATTCATGGCGAATTTAAAACATTCATAATTTGAGTCCTTTTTGCATCGAGAAATTAGTAGATAATTGCCGTGACTGTCCTTGTATTTTTCAACTAATTAAAGTATGTTTTAATTACGTAGAATTTCTGGATTATTTTGGCAGTTTTTCATTTAATGGAATGTGTGAGTTTTTAGTACAGCAGCTTTGTCAGACAGTTCCTCGTGTCACACAACTCCATGTGTTGGTTTGAAGCCTGTTGTAATATTTCTTGCAGCTTATGCTATGCCCTTTGTCATATGCCAAGTATTACTTGCATCCTTTGTTGGACTTCTTTCTTCTCTGACATATTTTAGTTATTTTGTTCTTGTTGCTATGAGCATGGATATTTACTGAAAAGTCCTTCTGGTCAAGATAATCATATAAGCGTCGTACCCCTACAAGTTCATGTCGTTGAGAGCTGAGATCATCAAGAACAGAAAGAAATTACTTGTTGAATATTCAACTTTCATGGGTGGGATATTGAACTATCAAGTGATGATGATACTGAAGCTACATCTACCCAGTATCAACATTTAGCAGAACACAAATATCCACTGAGACTAGGTCATCAAACTCAGATATTTACGAAAAAGGAATTCGTGAAGAGATTGCAAACTTGCCATTTGATGAACAATGTGGATAATCTGAACTGACTAATAGAGATGTTTGACACCCCTGTGTGAATGCAAGTCTGGTTAGGAGATGGTCGCTAATACGAAAAAGAACTTTTTTAGAAAGTACTTAACTATGCTTGACAGAAGAGCACTTTGGAGAAATGGTGTTTATTTAGAACGAAAGGAAATACTTATAATTGCAGCACATATTGAACTCACTGTAAGAGAGATTATGCCTGACTGTGCCCTTCATCAAGTCAGACAATTGTATCCAAACTTAGAATGTGTCTCACATCAGACATTTCTTTTAACATCAATCTGCTAAAAATGTTTTTGACCGAAATTTAAAATATTTTTAAACTGTTACTGTATAAAGTTGTTATACATAAGCAACATTAAGTGTGATTAACATTTGTGGAATTTTGACTACAAGATATTTACAACAAAATATAATGGAAAAAATATACTAGAAAGTTACTTTTACTGCTTTCATGAAGTGTCAATAAACCATTCAAATACAAGTGAAATAAGTACTTTGCAATTTGAAGCAATCATAAATTACTAGGTA